CTCAAGGAACTACTTAAAATCCCAGCTACAGACATGCACAAACATGAGGCGGCTTTGTTTAAATGCTGGGAAAAATCATTTTCAAGGCTCAGTCTAATAGCTGGCCCAAGGGCCCCTCACATGATTCCCAATGACAAACACACCAGACTATTTTCCTTCTTCTTTTCTGTCATGTTGTCCTCTCATTGTCAGCTGACAACACACTCATTACATGTGAACTGAGGGAGGACACAGCATGTCCACATTGTGTGCTCAGACTCCAACCACATCAATGACACTGGAGTCCATGTGAACAGCGCTGATTTAACTGTAACGTTTGGGACATCATCCAATAACAAAAGGCGGTGTATCACTCTCTTCCTGGAAGTCAGCCAGTGGAGGCCCATCAACAGATCGGCCATTGAGAGGCCATCGGCTAGTTAATGTCAACAACACTTGGAGCCGTGTGATGCTGAACAGACTTCCTCCTGGCAGCACCCTCCTCCACCTCCCTTCCTCACGTTTTCCCTCCCTTGCCTTACACTCACGACCCCCACCCGACACACACACACCTGCACCGCCCTTTATCTCTCCTTGCACTCATTGTTCCTTGTCAGCACGACGGTGTCTCTCATCCTCCTTCAGTACCTCATTCCCATTTCCATCTCCTGTGTACTCATGGCTGACCAAGCTTTAGCATCATCTACCACACAAGGCTGTTATGTAACCTGTGACTATGTGTGTGTGTGTGTGTGTGTGTGTGTGTGTGTGTGTGTGTGTGTGTGTGTGTGTGTGTGTGTGTGTGTGTGTGTTTTCTGGGAAAAGGGAGGGGTTCGGAGGATGAAGATAGCGTTGAGAAGTTTGTTGTTCCTGTTAATGTTCTCACAGTCAACGGTGCTCCTGAGGTGGGTGGGGACGGAAAATGTACTTCCACCCAACACACACACTCACACACACACAGACACAGACTGTGTCAATGGGACATTCAGAACGTGGCACCACTTATCATTGACTGTGCTATCTAATTAGAGAGCTGGCAGTTTTTGTTCTGTCCCTTGGCCCAGCAGAGGTATTGGCAAAGATTTGAATGAATTGGCAGTTTGCTGCTCTGCTGTGTATTTCCAGAATCAGCTAGTAAATTCAAATGATGACCAAACAGTATGGATGATGAGCTATTTTCAATACAGTGTGGACAACAAAAACAGACTAAACCCTCCGATCAAATCCGATGAGAATCACTTCAGTGGATTATTTATAGATACAATTGTGGGGATGCTTGAAAAATAGACCTAAAAGGTTGATCTAACGCACATCTTACGACTGTAAGAATGTTTCAAAGAGAGATGCCTGATTTCTTGAGCCTACATCACCCATTTCATATTGTAGTAGTCACCTGCCCTCAGTCAAAATGTCACAACATTTTCAGTGAAGTAGAATCAATGAGCATGATTGGACATTATGTTAAAACAGGGACAAGGTAAGTTATTTCCACCTCTTCACCTAAACTTATCATGCCAACAGTATTTACTTTTCTTAAAAACAACATTCGGCGAGGGTAATTTATTCAACCAGACTATTCCTGCACCATGAGTGTGCATTTTTAAAGATTACAGTGGATTTCATCAACTGCTGATTTTAATGGGTGAATAGCTGTCACATGGAGATACACAGAACAAAATGATCAAATGTAATCCCTGGTGAAGATATGGAAGCCTCTGGTCGAGCACCAAAAGGGAGAAAAAACCACCACACCCATTAGCCAATTACATCCTACATGACAATGTCCATCCCTCATTAAATATTGTCAAAGTCTGCAATCAAAGAATAGCAAGTTGCTTGGCAACAGCTGCAGGAAAAGAAAAAAAGCTAAAAACTTGTCACAAGCAAATCTGGAACAACAAAGTCTGGTTCCAGGTGGATTTCGCTGAACATGCGCCAGATGTCTCTTTTGGGTTTATAACTGCAACTCTGGGGCATACAAGCACTCGTGGCTGCCTCAACTTTTTTTTTAATGTTAACACATTAATGTTATATTCAAAATGCCTACAAACATGAGTTATTTGAATGCTGAAATTGTGAGCATTGCCACTTGGCTCTGTGTTGTGGTTGTAAAAAACAAGACCAAGGGCATGCATGCAATCTAAAATGAACACTGCATAATGAGCCTTCATGATGAGAAATGATGGGTAACTAAAGCGGACAAAATCAATGCGAGTGCTCAACAAAAGAACAACGTTATAATGGAGTTTGGTGAGGGGCATAACAAGTAGCAGCACCAATATGCTTGCCTCTCTGTCTCTGCCAAGTCATTCAGCATGAGGATGGAGAAAAGCAGGTTAAGGTCATTCCTATATCTAGGTTAAAGTGATGCAGAGGAGGAGGAGGAGCCCACAGAGAGAGCTAGAGACCACTGCAGTCTGGTCCACTAACCTCCTTTGAGTGTTTCTCAGGAGAGAGCAGGGTGCAGTATTCTGTGTCCTCGCCACTTTAAAGCAAATCAGAGTAATAACAGGCACCTTCTCTGTTAACCAGGACACGTTAACTTACATAGAAACACATGCATAAGCTAACCCATGACACCACCAGCATGCAAAGCAAAGCTCATAGACCCACTCATAAAATACTCCATTGAATATTAATTTTCTGTGCAACCGAAACTTAAGTTAAAACACATTTTAGTCATGTTTTCGGCATTACTTCTGTGTTAATTCCATCTACCTGTGATGTGAGGGAAGCGTTGATATCCTGGAGTTCCTTGCAACAGACTCAAACTGCTAATAACCGGGATTAGGTTTTAACGGTGGAGGCGTAACCGACCTGCTGACCGCTGCTTCTTCTTCTTCTTCGGTCTACTTCTTCAGCGTTCACCCTGGGAAGACGGTAGCGGAACACGCGGACAGGAGAAGTGACGGATAGTCGTGTGCTCTCAACTGCACGTAATAACGGTAACTGCAAACTGCGACTGGGATGACATTGAGCTCTTTTTACGCGCCAGCTTTTCCAACCAGTGGTTCCCTCCTCCCTCTACTCTTCTCTCCTCTCCCCCTCTCTCTCTCTTTCTCTCTTTTTTTTTTTAGGCACGCGCTCTGAATAATGCAGCGCTTGCGAGGTCCCAGGAGTGTTTTCTGTCCCGTTCCAGAGACAATCAGAGAGCGAGCCACCAGCGCGAGCTCGAGCCAAGCACAATGAGACCGACCCGAACAGATCAGGTTACCGCCGTGCTGCCTTTCATTCATTTATTCAGCGGCACAACAATCTGACTGCAGCCCAGCCAGCACCCCCCACATTTATGTACCCCACCTCTCTGTCTCCCCACCTCTCTGTGCCTGTCTCCCCACCTCCAGCTCTGCCTCCCCTCAGATAAATGTGTTCAGGTGGCATTTTCAGAAAAACAAAAACATACTCAGAACTCTCCAGAACAGGCATTGGTGGTGTAAGCTAACTCCATGTACTCCTGAACTGCACATAAGTACTCGTTAAGATAACTTGGATACAAGTATGTTTATTATATATCACCTAATGCTGCTCCATTGCATTAAAGTAGCACAACTTGCATCTTGGGAAGTGTAGGATCCAGTGTTTTTCAGGTGTGGAACTGATATTGGAGCTAAAATTGACAATATATCTGCCTCTGCTGCACACATTTTGACAATTCTATTTTCAATCTGTCTAATAACGCCCCCATTTTTATAGAAGTGTAATACTAAATTGCTGAAGTACCCCTTTAATAGGAACATGTTGTTCCATTTAGCCCGCTACATTTACTCTAGGTTAATAGGTAGCTACTTCCGATTTGAAAACAAAACACGATCATTTAATAAGAAGTGTAATGCTTCTTGAATTAGTTATTATGATTTGCAACAGTAATATAATAGTAACACTTAAACAGCCATTCTGCACAATTAGTAATCTACTTTGCTTTTGATACTAACAAACTCTGGCAATGGACTGTCTTTTTTGTTTTCTTATTTTATATTAGAGTATTGTTACTACTCCTGAAGTAATACATACACAAAGAGAGAATATGGTTTATAAGTGTTAATATTCTCATTATCAATTCAAAATACACCACCCGTTATGAACAGATGTAACTCTCTTTAAGAATACAGTATCATATTAAAAGTAATACTATAGTAGATACAAATGCCCCAAAGTACAGTAAGTCACTTTAAATGCAACATGCAGTACGCCAGGCTCATATAAGTTCCCATTAGAGATGAGAAATGCCACAAAGTTCAGTAAAATCATATTAAATGTACTGCCATAAATATTTAATGGGTAGTTCTAAACATTTGATAGAGACACTGTAGTGGGACGTATCCCACTGCAGAACAACTCTGCACCTGTAGAAAGGAGACAATGTGGCTGAAAGGCATTCCAAACATGCCGCCCCATAGCAGATGTGAGGTTCAGCACAAACAATATCTGGAAGCACGTACAGTACAGTACTTTGTGCAAGAGCCTGCAATCTACAGGGACAAAACCCGATGGTTACTCATATGCAATCACATTAACCGCACATTCTGCTATAATCTATCCTCAGATATGAGAATTGTGTAATTTGTTTTGTATTATTGGTGATGTCATGTTTGTCTTAAACTAGATGTTGTCAACTAAATGGCAGAAGACATCAACCTTGGATTTTCAGAGATTTTCAGAATTTTCTGGGGATTTGTTTTCGTGATCTGCCCACTTTCCCTAAACATATCTTGCTTGAATTTCAAATGAATCAGCCTACATTTGATCTAAAATGTAAAATAACCTGTATGGCACAGATGTTTTCAGGTGAGCAGAACTCCATTTTTGTATTCCCATGAGGTATAAGAAGAATAGGAGAAAAAAAGCCCACAAATGTATATTCAAAATTGTTGCTTTGAAGCCTGTGTAAAGGAGTAAAAATAATAGTCCCTCACATTATGAAAGGTTTCAGGGCCGTTTGTGACCCGGTGGAGCCACTTATTCATGTAATTGTGCCCTTCGATAGGGATAAAAACACACTCACACAGATACAAATTACTCACCATGGCGGTGTGAGGGTGCCTGGTCGGAATGGCAGCTTGGTTCCCATTTGCTGTTGTCAAGGTAACCCCTGATGTGTTTCCGTAGCCTATGATAGACAAAATTAGAGTTATTGTCACCATTGTCATCTTTTTGCATATTTATTTGCACCTGTGGGCGATCTTTTAGGCAAGCAGTATGCTTCTGACAATGTGATAGTTATCAGCTATGATGCATGCAATGAACACATTCTTTTATGGTGGACCCTCTGCTACTTTTTTAACTCTTTATTTTAGCTGTGTGAATTATTTTTGAATGCCACCAGAGCAACCGTGCACACAGCACTGATAATAAATCCTAATTCTTCACTGCACTCTGGTTCTTTTCTCTCATTTGAAGACTGTGTTCTTTGCTGTTTCAGTGCCCCTGTTGCAAAAGTAACCTCATAACACTGTTAAAGAAAATATCAATTTAAATACTTTAAAGATGTGGCTTTGTAGCAACGGTGGTGGCCAGTGATAGAACGTAACTCAGTATATATACTCAAATATATAATATACTCTATACAATATTGTACTATATACAATACTGTACTCTTATAGTATTTAATGCATGTGTCGGATTATAATTTGCTGCTACTTTATCATTTTACTTTACTATACTTAAGAGGAAAATACTTACTTTTTACTCCATTAGATGAAGTTGTCAGCTAGAGTAGCTAAGCAGTTCTTTGCAGATAATGTTTTTATACAAAACATATAATCAATTTATACACAAAACTACTCAACATTAAAATGCTGCTTAATACATAAGTAATAGTATTAAATAATGACATACATCATAATAAAAACACCTAACACCTAATCACATTTTGTTTTGTCAATCCATACCCCAAATATATTTAGTTTAATATGATATAACAAAAAAGAAAAGCAGAAATTCTTCATAATTGAGTCTCAAAATCAAAATGTCTGACATTTTAGCATGAATACTTACTTTAACCATAAGCAGAGTTATCCTTGCAGCTTAATTTATAATGCCTATACATGTGTTATTTGTACAATTTAAGAAATTTGAGTTTTGGCAATGGTATTAGTATAAGTTATGCTGTTGTATAAGCAGTAGTATTAGTAGCATCATCAGTGGAAACAGGAAAATAAACTTTAATCATTCAGATGATTATCTTGTGTCATCTTCATTTGCTACCTCAAAAAGAGTGTGCATTATTTCATTGTTGCTTTAAATCATCTATACTTTTGTTTTTAGATATAGTTTGACCCAAAAATCATGTGCAACGTTACAAACCAGGGTTTAACCAGTGCTGTGCATGTGGTCATCACAATGTTATGAGGCATGGACAAGTTTTCCACCGTTGACAAGTCTATTATTCTCCTATCATGTGTGTGTGTGTGACAGGGTGCAATAAGTATCTTTAGTCATGGTTTCTGTTGGCTGTCATTGTCTTAAGATAAATCAATTACTGCGTTTTATCACGGAAAACACACCCATCCTCTGTGAGGGAAAACAGTGTGTGTCCTGTGTGCATTAGTTTTGTTTTCAGATGCCGGTTGTCATGACGTCTGCAATATAATCATTTATCACCTTGTATTGTGTCCTCTGGGGAAGTGTGCGTCACATTTGTGTCGATATCCCTTGTGCCCTATCCAGAACATGTGGGCTTTTAAATAATAACACCCAGGCCAAGATATAAGCAGGAAAGATGAAACACAAACACCATATGGTTTTAAAAGTGTATCTATACTTCTTATCATGCAGTGTGCTTTTCAAAATCTCATGCAAAACATATCTAGTGCTTTAGTGTGTTTTTCCATGTTGTTCTTCCTTTTCACTGAAGTGGAATTATCAGGAAAGTAATATGATTGAGCATGCAGTGAGATTACTTCTTGCAGTACCTACTATTGATACCAGGGGGGTGCCTCAGGGCTCCTGCAAAACTAGAGCATGGAGGTGTATGTAGTCTGATCAGCTATCTATGTATGTAGCAGTTTAGCTAACCATATTTTCCTTTAGCACCACTTCCCTTTCTTCTCTTATCTAAAAGTCAATACCCCCCTTTGCTTCTGCCCACTCCATATTTTTTGTGTAAACTCATAAGCTGTCACGGACACAGTATGATTCCCATCAGGAATGTTGCAGAAATATTAGAGCCATTTCTCATGAGCTGTGGCTAGCCATACTGAAAGAGAGCTATTCAATCTCAAGGTTGTTTCTTATCAGGCTACATCAAATTAAACTGGAATGTTGCAGAAATTGTCTGCATTCCTTTAATGTTTTATTTAGCTGGTTTTCAAGCCCTAAAAGGCAAGTGAGATTTTTTTTTGTTGACTAATCATGATATTTTTTGTACCTTGGGAGAACTGGTAGAAAAAAAGCTTTTGTGTTTTCTTTCAGATGTTCTCATTTCTCCAAGCAGCCTAAACATCAGATACGTATATTCAGTGTATTCAAATTATGTTACATTACCGTCACGTCTTTGATCACCAGGATTTGTATTCTCATTTGACTCTTTAGGCCTCCGTATTTATTGCATTATTTGAATTCTCATCTGAACTCACCATGAATGGAGCTTTAGTCTTGGTCTAGTTGGTTAATATAAATTACATTAAAAAGTTGTATTCATTGTTTTGGGCACTAACACAAATCAAAAATAAATGTAAGAGTGAGTTTGTGGTGCTGGTGCAACTTAAAAAAACTAGTTATTGAAAGCCTTACCTTTGTGACCTTTATAAAATATTCTGGAGAAAAACCATGAATGTGTGTGTTTGCTTGTTAGTGGCAGTGGGAATTATAACAGATAGGGGTGCAGTAAGGACAGCTTGTGATCTCTTTGTCAGCAGCCAATGCAAAAGTGAATGTTAGGGACAGACGGAAAGAACAACAAGCAAGAGACGGCAGGAGGGCACTGGAGAAACTCAGCTTTATTGACCAAAGATAGAGAGAGGATACAGACATCAGAGAGAGAGAGTGAGAGAGAGTCAGAGAGAGAGAAAGAGAGAGAAGTTTGAACAATAGAAAATGGCTCCTTTTTGTTTTAACAGTCCATACAACCGTGAGGGCAGGCAAACAAGAAAAAGAGAGACCCCTACAGAGTCAGAGGAGTACTGCAGGCGTGGCAGTGGGGCAGGTAAACTCATCCAGTCTGTTGTGCGCGTACAGCTCCTCGCGTTACACCAAAAAACACGCACACACACACACCAGCACGGGTTAACTGGCTTCATTAACTTGAACTCAGCCTTACTCTCTTTTTCTTTGAATGTGTTTTTGGGGTTGTGATTTCTTTTTGCGACTGTAAGTGCTTCTTTAAGTCACACCTTGGGGAAAATAATGCTTCTCTGCATAGCCTCCTCAATCTTTTAAAACCCAAACAGTCATGCAATGAATATGATTTGGCCAATGTGGGATACAGAACAGCTTACTCAAGTTAATCAGGTTCAAATAACTGAGACAAAGTGCTCAGAATAACCATATGGCGACATTTGTTAGCTTCATTTTTTTGTTGATGAAATTGTTATTTTCACATGAATTTTAACCATCGCTATTTAAAAACTTTGTAAATATGAATTGTCTCAAGCAATTCCAGTTAAGTAACTTCACCTTAATCAATGGAAATGAATGGAAACCAATGGCTGCCACGATGGAAACAGTAAAAAACATGTGGTTTGGTTTGGAAAAAGTTCAGAAGTAATGTGAATTCAATGGTTTGTAGTTAATAGGCTACCATGCAAATCAAATGGTGTGGTTATTTCCTACCACTGCATTAAGATCCTCAGATGCGTTAGAGGCCAATCAAAACACTTGTGGAAATGGTAGCAGCCGCCAAGAGTTCAGAGAAGCCGGTGGTGGTCAGATGAGGGTGGAAACGTTGTGTGGGGGTTAATTGTGAGATTACACACACAGCAAAGCAGTGAAGTTAGGAGAATGAAAATATACAACGCTCGTGTTTGTGCACTCATACAGTCATCATATGGCATCATAGGACATTAGAACAATGTCTAGTACCCATAATAAATCAGAATTTATCTCTAGATCTCTATATAGATGTGGAAAATAAAATCACTAAATAGAATATAGCATATTTACATTCTTTATCTACACAAGAAACTAGACCCCGGAGGGCCCTGCATGGTGGCGGCCAATCACACAGCCAGCTGGACTGACTGACAGCAGCAGTGGCCAATCACACTAAAGCTTGTATGTTTTGGAGGCTGGCATACAAGTTCTGCATTGACAGTTCAGTGGTGGGACTGTTTTGCTGTGCACAGAGCCATGTGAAGATACCACTGATTCACCCAGAGACCTTTCAATGCTGGACATGTACCACTTGTTGCCAAGAAATATTGTTTCTGGCTTTCATTTTCTTTCAGAGTTATACGGAAGCCAATAAATGCAAGTGAGTAAAATAACTGTGGATCTATTTCATAATTATGATCTAAAACATAAATGATTATAGAACAGGTGAATAAAGGGTTTGTCAGTATAATATTTGGAATTACTTAAAACGTTTTTTCAAAAGTGGTGGGAACATATTTTTTCCAATCAGAGTTTTTTATTTTTTTTAATCAGGTTTTTTATTTTTTATTATGCACCCGTTTCACAGATGAAAAAAAATGTAAGGAAAGAATCCTCGCAAAACCCAATTCAAACTAAGGACAAAAAACAATTTAGATCATACTAGCATTTTTTTCTCACTTGCCTCTCAGGGCCTCCGTAGGGTACACAGTGCAAAGAGAGACGTTGTGTTCTTTACTGTATTTCCAGGACCAGTAATGCAGTCAAACACATTGGCTGCGTAGAGAAGAGAAGTTCTGCACTCTGAATAAAAAGGTTTTTAGGCTCTTGAGGTCAGTTTTTTATTATTTCATGTTGAAAAAAATTGTTTTGATGTGATTTACAAACAACACCAAAACACATTGTTTGGATCTAAAGAGCCTCTCTAACCTCTTTATAAATGTGCAGGCTTCTTTTTCAATCACATATCTGGCCCATATACATTTATTGATCGCACACTAAAGACAGCCATTTCTACTGTAGGGCACAATGGCAAAGTGTAGCAATTCATTAGATGCCTATTGAGCATTGCCATCCTCTAAAACATCAAAGACACTTGTAAATGAAACCAAAATCTTTTACACAGCGTCCATTATCATTCAACAGAATGAGGATGATTACCGATTTTGAGGGCTTCTTCTGAAAACCAGCCAAGTAAATGACCTACAGTGTAATATATATATATATTTGATGTTATTACCACACCCAGGCCACATTATTTGCAGCAGCCTTGTAAACGAGGGCCTGGTCGGTGACTACAGCATGAGCTGGCAGTGTTTTCAGTGTCTTTGAATTGGTAAGACTACAATGGATCTCTGTTGGCCTTCTGGACAAAAAGATGAACATGAACACGATAATTCCCATGAGCACGGCTGTCATTGAGTATTGTGGTAGTGCTCAATAATATTTATTATTCAAAACTTTGTGCCCTACTGTTAGTGGTAGTAATCCATGTTTGTTTTCATAGGCGGAAATACATGTTCCTTTGCTGCCAGTGTACTCATTAAGCTGCCATTAGCTTCCTGTGCTCTGTAGCCTTTGGACACACTGGAAAAAGTTGGCTGTATAGATCCTACTGGCTGCCAAAAGGTGTTCCACTGCTTCTTATTGGCTGCTGAGTTAGGAAGTGCTAGAATAGGAGGAAATGGCCTCAGCAGTGGAATAGCTGGAGTTAATGGATACAAAAACGACAGAGAGAAAGAGTCTTGTTACTGCTAACTACAATGTCAAAAAACTTCAGTTTCCCACGGAAACAGGCGTCCCAACAATTCAATGGCCTTTTAAATTTCAAAACAATAGAAAAAAATCAGATAGCAACAGCAAACCGAAATGAAACCTAATAGAACACTTTTAATTTTCTCTATTTTTGTTTTGTTAGGACTATCAATGTGGAAGAATGAAGAGGCACGTAAAGAAACCAAGGCAACAAGTACCCTCCTCCCCGGGTCAGAGAGAGACGGTACAAGGGAGGGGGGGGGGGTGGTTTTGTTTGAGGGTGTGTTGTGTTTGGAGACAACAGGGGAGAATTTACAGAAAAGGGAGTGGGATATTACTGAGACTGTGTCTACCTTTTTGAATGTTTTATACACTGGCTTATTTAGAGGTGATGACCTAGTTGATGGTTAGACACCGCTGTATTCTGAGTGATGGTCCACTGAGAGTTGTTATATAATTTTACCTGGTTTAAGCTGTTTGTCAACAACTAATTTGAAGGTCTGTTTACCGGTGATATACCAAAGTGACAACAGCTTAATTGTAATTAATGAAATAAACAGAGTCGTCTGAGGAGACAGGAGGGTAATGAAAGAGCAGAGATGTAGAGGTCATAACGTAACTGAGTAAAAAGTCAAAGGTCAGACGAGAGCGTGTGTGCGTGCATGTGTGTGCCAGCCGATCAGAGTCCAGAGGAAGAGGAGGAAGAAGGTGGGGCTTCTGTTAGTAACCATCCAGAGACAGAGGAGAAGAGAGGGGGTGTTGTGGGTAATAATAAAAGGGTTGGAAGAGGGAGAAGATTCAGTCACATGAGGATGCAGCACTCGCAGCGTTTCCTCTTGTCTGTACCTGTGGCGGGGGTGAGGCCTGGCAGGGGGGCCGTGTTGGCGTCGGGGTTGGCGGGGGGCGAGGAGGCGCTGTCGGGGTCACGGCCGTCGGATGACAGTTCCGTGCTGGCGCCCTCTGACGTGGCCGGCCGCCCCGACACCAGGTCGGCCGCCGTGCCGTCGATGATGGACATGTCGGTGACCGTCTTCTCCCGCAGAGACTTCTCGTCGTCTTCGTCGATGAGCACCACCTCGGCCTTCACGGCGCCGTCGAATCCCAGCAGCCTCCTGCTCTCGCTCACGTCCTCCACGTCCTGGTAGCCGAGGAACACCATGGTGATCGGGTGCTCTGCGCTGGCCCGGGGCAGCGAGCTGAACTCGCCACCGGGGTGGGCGGAGGAGGCGGGCTGGGTGGTGATGGGAGCAGAAGGGGGCATCATGCCGAGCTGAGGCTCCCTCTGGAGGGTCACCTGGGCGGGCGGGCTCGAAGGAACGGAGGGCGGAGCGCAGGAGGGTGGAGACAGGTCGTCAGTATCTGCGGGGGAGATGTAGGCCTGCGGGGCGGCGGGGGTCACCGTCACCTTGCCCCTGTCGCCCTCGCCTCCTTGAGACCCCGGCCTGGCTGCTCTCTGGATCAGCTGGTCCACCTGCGCGGAGCTCCACCCGTTCTCCATCGTGTTACTGGTGGACACGCCCCCGGAGGATGTGACCTCGTAGACCACCTTCCTGCCGTCGTCGAAGACTTTGACGCCGCGCGACGCCGCATCCAGCGGGCTCACGCGATTGGCCGACAGGATGCGCTGCTCGCCGGTCGTCGGGTCGTGCTGCACGTTGATCTCCATGGCAAACATTGCTGTTAGGAGGGGAGGGGGGGAAGGGATTGGGGAGAAGGGAGTGGGGTTGGAGGTAAAGGTGAGGGGGTGGGAAGGAACCAGTGGAGAGGGTGAGGGATGTTGGGAGGAAAAAGTGGAGGGAGTGAAGCATGAGGATGGGGACACAGTGATCTCTGATAAACTGCAATACAAGTTTCTCATTCAAACGGTTATATATTCTGTTAGCAAAAGACAAATGGTGATGGAACTACCTTGCAAACTATAGGTATTATGTGCATTTAGTACACCAAAATATCTATAAATCAATAAAGGTATATTAAAATAATAATAATCAGGTTATTTTGTTCTTACCCTCTTGTCTATCTTACTGCAATCATAAACAATTGTCTAGCTTCATCACGCTGCCCTGAAAGCCGAGCTCATTGCAAAGTCAGCAGCCCCAAACACAATGAAACACACATGTAGGATAATGAACCGTTGACTATCATAACATGACTGATTGGTAACCTCTCTGTTGTTATTTTGAATACTTAAAAATATATATTTTGTACTGTTTTGGCTTTCTTAACACTATAATTAGCTCTTATCATTGTAAGTATATTTCCTACGGTTGTTTCGCTTTTTAATTTGTTCTAATGTATTTTCTAAAGTACTTAACACCTTGTTTGGTTAAATTCTAAACAAATAAAGATATAATAATTATATGTATATATGGTTGTTATACTTATTATTTTATTACTAGAGTAGAAATTATGTAAAGTCCACAACTAAAGTAATACACTTTTAACTCTGTATAGATATATATAACTATACAAACTAAAAAATATATGAGTACTGTTACAGAGATTAGAAGTAATGCTTATTAATAATAACCTAATTAATACAAATCTGAGTTGTAGTCCTGTTTAAAAGTTATACCTTACCTGGAGATAACACACATTCTCAAGTCAAATCATATATGGATCCAACCCAAAATGTTCAATATAAAGTTTGTGTATCCCTGGTTAAGTGTGTGTCATTATGAAATTTGACTCAATTTGTGTGAGCGTGTGTGTGTGTGTGTGTTGGTACCTGCCACCCTCCACGTGCGCGTGAGTTTGTCCTGGTTATAATCCCCATTTGGCTGCGGCCCAAAATCTTCCCATCATCCCTCCCCTCTATCTTCTCTCCCCTCCCTCAGCCTCAGCCTCCTCTCCTCTACCTCCCTCTCTCTGTCTTACCAGGTCTTGGTGCTGCGTGCTCTCCGGAGGCGGGGGGGCCGGTCCTGGGCTGGGTGGCCAGGACGAGGTGCTCGGGATCGGGGTCGCTGAGAGGCGCGGACATGCGGCCGAGGGCATCTAGTGAGCAGAGGCGCAGGGGGGGAAATGACACATGGTCAGAGGGACGTGAGAGGGCCGTGAGGGAGGGCCACACACACACATATGCACACAAGGTACACACTCTTCAGTGATGTGTAGACACACCCTGACAAACACACACACGGCCTCCCACAGGGAAACTAACCACACCCCTGATTGACCCTGCCCGCCCCCTATTTCAAAACACACACACACACACAACATCTAACTCTGTTTCTGTGTCCACGGCAACTCTAGCACCCCTGAGGTTCAGTGCTTATGCAGCAGAAGTGTGTGATTGTGTGTTTGTGTATGTGTGTGATTGCAGGAACAAAGCTTTAGGGGCTTATGGGGCTTGATGGTGAATAGGGGGGGATAAAGCCAGCGACTGCAGGCTGCAGAGTCATGGCCTTGTGTGTGTGTTACCTTCAATAGCCTTGCTGAGCCGCGATCTGTGTGGGTGTGTGTGTTTTTTGGGGCATCGTGTGTGTTTGTGTGCAGGTATATATGTGTCTACGTGTGAGTCTGTTGGATTGGATGAGTGTGTGTTTGGGGGTCCAGGAGCCTGCTCTGGCCTGCATCCCTCCTGCCTCAGCGAGACTATTATTACCACACACACACACACACACACACACACACACACACACACACACACACACACACACACACACACACACACACACACACACACACACACACACACACACACACACACACACACACACACACACACACACACACACACACACACACACCACACACACACACACACACACACACACACACACACACACACACACACACACACACACACACACACCACACACACACACACACACACACACACAAATATATTGACCCCCACTGCTAGGAAACAACAATAACTGAGGGGGAGGACACCGTCCTGATGAGATGTGTTTGTGAGTTTAAGGTGTGTGTCTTTTGTGTGTGTCTTTTGTGTGTGTGTGTAATACCTCCACCCTGTGCCATCAGACTCTGAAAGACAGAAAGGAGAAAACCAATGTGAGTCATCAGAGAGAGTTTTTGAAAATGTTGTGATTAAAGGCTTTATTTAATGAAAATGAATGGTAGACAAGTTAATACCATTTTGAGATGAACGGCCTATGCCTGCGCTCACAAGGCTGATTATTGAATAATTATAGTATTTGAACTGAGTCAAGTAAAAAAAACCTTTTGATTGGTTTTTAGTTTTTGTAAGTTTACAAATGTCCGTTGCCTACCAGGAGTAGAATCTCCAATCTGCTAACTCTAACCCTAGTACCGGTAACTAAAATGAACCAACAATGCAATTTCTGGCAATTTCCATATTTTCGTAATTCTCGATTTTTTGTTCTGTGATTTTAATAAAACTACTTGATTACATAAAATATCCTGTGATAACTTTTTTAAATAATCAGTTGTGTTCTAAAAGAAAATGGTAATGTCAACAGTGCTGCAACATTCAGTATTTGCAGCAACATGAGTTCAAGTTCACTTTCAAGGTTTTCTTTACAATATAATTAAAGATTTACTGCTCTGTTTTGTAAACAAAGAGTTCATTCATTCATCTCATGTGTACCTAGCACACTTGTGTTTTTAATTAGCAGCAGAGTCTTTACAAGACTTCATGTTTTTTTCATTTGCTCTCACAAAAACGCTTTTAATGAGCGTCAAAAACCTCCACTGCAATTATGGTGTAATTAAACAAGTAACTAATAACAGATCGCAATAATTGGACTAGATGTTACAGAACTTTAATGTCAGAACCGACTAGTTAATGCATTCCCAGAAGCTCATTGAAGTTTCGGGACAGTTCATGTTGTCATACCTTCTGCAGGTCTTCTATGGAGCGCTCCGTCTCTTTCAGACGTTGTCGTAGAACCTGCTCTTTGGCGGAGATCTGAGACTCTTCGCTCTCCAGTGTACCGATTTCAGACTCCAGCCTGCAAAAACACAAAATATAGGAGGATTAAAGTTATATATATGACAACAACAGTCATTAATGCGGTCTAGTTATTCAGTTTATCCTGATTGAGTGAGTGGTTCAGTGAGTGGTTCATATCAATATGTCTCTTTTCTTATTACCTAAATCCTGATTAAGTGTTTTCAAGCAGACTGCACATTTTCTCCAAGGAATGTCCATATAACCGATTTTTTCTAAGTAACATATCCCCGCAAAATGCACCTCAACTACGCCTATGCACACACACATGCATGCATGCTCACATGGAATTTTAAGAGATGGATGTAGCAACAATACTAGGAAGCAGTCTGGGAGGAGGACCAGGGTCGCTTCCTCACTCACTGCCAGCACTCACAATACTTCAATATACACTCCTGTGGGACCAGAGGAATTTGTGCGTCAGTGTGTGTGAGCCTGTGCGTGTAAAAGAGATATTAACGGTTCATAACAATGCGGCAAAAAGTCAGACTTCCCAACGTACTCCAGATTCAATATGGCTCATATCAGCATCAGTGGCCGTGAATAAGCACTGGTACAAGTTGTTCTTACAGGACTGTTTGAGTAAGCAGTTCAACAAGTTTACAAAACACCAATTGTGAACAGGAGATTGTGTGTGATGCCCCTGTGGGTTCATAGCTGTGTGGCTGTGTAATGTGTGTTAGAAAACCTTGTTTTTTTGGCTCTAATTGCTAAGCTTTAACAACATTTTTTTACAAACGAATCAACACTTACCTACGAATGTGTGATGTTTGGATGTTAAACAGCTGCCTGAAAACAGTGCTGTGGTCCTAGAAATACTCATTTTCAAGGCAAATACCTTCTTCTTTTGGACCCCCAGAAACCTTAGATTAATGGTATATTACATTGATACAATATAACCTTTTACTTAGGTATTTTTGTACGGTATAAAACAGAGACAGAGCATGCACACTGCAGAAGTCGCAGTACTTAATAACTTTTTGATAATTCGTCCCTGCTGAATGTTATCATGCTCTACTCTCAATGTGAAATCCGTTTACATCAAAAATCTTAATAAGAATGTTGCTTTCTCATCATAAAATCAGCCTGCTCTCAAACCATTGTCTGGATGAAAATAATCAGCACAGTTCGGGGTCGTTCAGTATTACTAGAAATGAGACAATTCAAGACTTGGCAAGCTATGCCAGGATTTTAACAAATATAGCAACATGCATGTAAGCCATTTAAAACAACACTGTCTATTCTGAAAAGAAAAAGCATTTTATCAGAGTGTATATATATCAGGGTCCCGTTAGATTGGAACTTGATAGCAACTTAGTACCTCAATCATTTAAATGTTGGTCATATGCGTAGTATATTATAGTAGGCATCAAGTATGTGATAGTAACTTGGTACCTGTGCTGTATCTGTCAGCACTCATACTGGTTCATAATATGTTTAAAGTATTTTGTTTTTTTGAAGGTCTCAGACAGTGGTTATTAATAGTAATTCTGGACTGTACATGCAAAATTCAACAAGAAACAATAACCCAACCTTGGAAAGACTGCAAGGACTGCACCACAATGTGTTATCAGTTCAGGTCATTAGACCACTTGAAATGTATTTATATGTGTGCAAAATAACCTCAAGTGAATGCATGACAAAGCTATTCAAGGATGCTCAATCTGCCTTGCCTTGATGTATCCCATATTGGCCAACATGTGAAAGAAGAAAGAAAAGAAGGAAGACAAGACAAAAGAGAGTGAGAGGTGTATATTAGAGAGATTAAGGTAGAAGAAGTGTAATATTATTTGAATATACGCTAGTACATTTCTGCAACCTTAAGTATTTTCGCAGCAAGACCAATTTACTCTTGGGTAATCTCTGCTATTTTTTGTGCTGCTGAACTTTTAAATCTATTAAATGCATGGAAAGATCATAAGACAATTGGCCACTGGGCATAGACATGCGAGAGGCCCCACCACCTGTATCTTATTTAGGATCAAGACACACAAAATAGACAGTTGTTAGGCCTCTTTTTGTTATATTTTTTGTGGTTACGCATCTTTCAATGATTTTGTGTCTCTATGTAGTCCCCAAGCAATGCTATGCGGTTTTGTCTCACTTCGTTGAGGCCCTTTCCTGTCCCTTTGCAGTTGTTCTGTGTCTCATTGTGAAACTCTGTAGTCATTTTAAGAGTTTTTCATATTTCTGGTGTTTTCTTTTGTCTGTGGTTGCTCAGTGTTTTAAAAAAAAATCTATTTGTGTCTCTTTTTAGTAATTTTAAGTTTCTTTGAGGTGGTTTTGTGTTTCTTTGTAGTCATTTTGTGTCTCTTTTTAGTCATTTTAAGTTTCTTTGAGGTGGTTTTGTGTCTCTTTCTAGTCATTTTGTGTCTCTTTTTAGTAATTTTAAGTCTCTTTGTGGTTGTTTTGCCCCTTTTCAAAAATGTTATACGAAGTCCAGAGGGACTTAACACTTTGGGCCCTGATCAAACAGAATGTTTGGGGTTTTTTTTTTAGTACAAGGTGTAGCCCACCTTTTATTGCAGGACATGCTGAGAGGATGTGGGAAAGAAATTTGTGGAAGAAAAACAATTTATGTATGATTAGACTTTCAAAAATATTAAGCTGTAGACTAAACACATTTGAAAATGTGACGTTTCTTACTTTACCTATTGTGATAATTGTGTTATGTGACACAAGTCAATGGCAAAAGTGTCTTGTTAAACACACTTTTTGTCACTATAGCAACCATCTCTGCGAACTGTCGGTTACTGAACTCAGAACTGTAAGAAGTCGGAGGAACACATTCTGTTCTAACTCCATTAAGACAAATAAACGTAGACCGTGTGACCCTGCTCCTCCCTATCACATTTCCTTTTTTCCCTTTCTGGCAGGAAATTGATTTTACTTGTGCTTCCTGTAAGCTGCATGAGGTCATGCCAAAATGGGCAAGAAAGAAGATTTGTGACCGGAGGAGGACGCAGGTTTCCTCATCCTATTACATCACTCCAGGAGCTGTTTTATGAGGAGCACGTTAAAAAATCAAAGACATGTCAACATGTCAGCATCTATCCTTCATAAATCCTTGTTAATGGCTCATAATCCTAGAATAACTAAATACCTTTTTGATCTAATCTAAGTCACAGCTGAAAACCCATTCCAATCACTGTTATACTTCTGAAAGGTCTACTGTCTTTGTAACCTAATGAGTTTATCCAGTGGAAGAAAAAAAACTGTTGGTTGGCAAGACAGAAGTTAGAAAGGGTATGTAGGAAGTGGATATGAAAGTAAGATACAAAGGTTAAATATTTAAACATCCACAAAATACACATTCTACTAAAACATCAGGGCAAACCGCAACCGAAAAAAATATTATTTTGGATCAAAACCTCTCAATAAAGCCTCACAATGGAATTCATACAGGGATATTTGACTGTCTTTGAATGTGTGACAAGCCTGTCTTATTGGTCTTATTTGTGTCTGGCACCCTCTAGTGATCAAACCTCAAACATGACCAGAGAGTGAGCAGAGAATGCCTGGAAGTAACACGATGGGTGGATTGTTTGACCTGTCTTATGTGATAAAACTCTATTATAAAGGACATTTTCTGAAAGGGCAACACAATATTAGCATCAGAGGTCTTTTTAATGCCTCTTCAGGCTTTATTCCTCATTCATTCCGGGCCCTTTTGGAGCATGCAGTTACAGTACAAGTGTTTAAATTAAATACTGTACATTATGAAAAGGGAAGTAAATAAAATATGCATATCATATGGCTTTACCATGTGTGTGTGTGTGTGTGTGTGTGTGTGTGTGTGTGTGTGTGTGTGTGAGATCTGGGGCCATGACCTCACATTGTACGTCCTTCCTCCTCATTTCCTGCTCGCCCTCCTCTCTTTATACTTCTGTGTCGAGCGGTGTTACTATCTCTGTGGCAATCCTGAAAGAGAGCAGTGATGTCACTGTCCCGCCCCGTCAACCAACCACGGGCCTGTTGCCATGGATACCCCTGGCTGGGCAGCAACCGCTTTTCACATTATACACGAGGTGGAAGACATCTGGTTTTATGTGTTGGGTGGATGTATATGTGCGTGTGTTTGTGTGTGTGTGTGTGTGTGTGTATGTGTGTGTGTGTGTGTGTGTCTGTGTGTGTATTTAAACGTGATCATGTGTGTTGTCTGTGATTGGAGATATAGGTACATTCCTTCTTCAGGAGTTTTTGTAGTACAAATCCAATGGAAGATGGAATACAATCTGATTGGCTGAGGGAAGCATCAGTGGGCGGGGCCATTGTTTTTTCCGAGCGGTCCAGGAAGAGAAGTGGCTGAAGTTTAAAACTATATATGGCTGTTAAACTGTTTTGGTGAACCTCCACATGTCAATATGTCCAATTATGAAGTAAGGTAGAATAATAATAAAAAAGGTTTTGCCAATTGCAGATCATGCATGTATAAGTAGTAAATAAGCCTTTAAAAAAATATAATATTAATGTAGTTGTAAGCAGATATTATTTATTAATGTACGGTCTACAACTATACTGAATCCATTAGTGGAGGCTGGTGTATAAACAGATAATCAAATACATTACAAAGTACATTATCTGTTAATTATACTTCCAATACCTGGATTGGTTAAAGTCAGAGCCTATATTTCAATGTGTGTGCAGAGCTGGATTTTATTTGAAACTGCCATTTCCACAAAATAGTGAAACACCTCACATTACCGCTCGATTGTTCTTTTTAGGAGAGATTACCAATATTGACAAATAACGTACACTGATAATCCCATAAAATGACCTTAGATCTCTTTACAACTTAATTAAACTAAGCCATGTATTAAAAGTCTATGTACTGCTCATGAATGCTAAATGGGGGAGGGTTAAAGTATAGTGATATTAAAGAAGTGTTAGTGTGGTGCTAAACGCAGCCTCTGATGTGGCTCATTTTTCCAGCGGTTCTTCCTAACACTTGCTTTTTATCCGTGTGATTACATAAATGGTTTCAAATAAAAGCAGTGTTGA